TAAGTTACAATTTCATGCTGACCGTGAATACATATATTTTATCACGTCGTAAAATACGCGTGGAAGCATGAATACTTCTTCTAAGCAGCGGGTGCTCTTTCCTTTAATGCAGAAGCCATTGTGTTCGGTTCTCTGAAGCGGAGAGAAAAAGAAGCCGTTGAGAAAGGGGGAAAGCGGGGGAGAGCAATGGACAGGGAGAGACAGAGAGAGAGAGAGAGAGAGAGAGAGAGAGAGAGAGAGAGAGTAAGCTATCTTTAAATATGAATTCTAAAGGCGTCGCGATACCTACTTTGCACTACGTACTTTTGTTTTTCTTTCTTCTCATTCGTTTAACGTATAGTATTATTACGTAGAAAGTAATCATTAAAAATATTTTCTATAGCCATCAGGAAATTAGTCGATATTTTGAATAGGTATTTCAAGGAAGTCTTAAGACATCATACAATATATTCTTAAGATAACATAAAGATCTCGCGACTATTGACGAATCCACAGCTTTGACATTGTTTTAGTGACGCTACTTTTGTTTTCATAAAACAGTGGAAATAATCGGAATTTCGTGGGCAGCGTCCCTAAGGCAGTTGTGATTTGTAACCTAGTGGACGAAATGGAAGTAGTTTTGAACTTTTTATTGAATCTATATCGAGATTTTGCGTTGCGGCTATGAATATATTCAAAGTAAGGGTTACTTTCCACTCGTTCTTCATGGCTCTTACATATGGGTGTCTCCGGATTTGAACTAATCCGTGTCTTCTGAAGATCAGGGAGAAATTGACGGTACTAAATTTGAGTGCATATTCCAAAGCGAATAAAGTGGGTCTTAGACTTAGGTCGGAACCTAGGGATCTGCGTAAAAGCGTGTACGATGAGAAGAGTACATATTGGCGTCAGCGTTGTGCTATTGGTGAAGGTAAGATGAGTACGAAATTTTGCTTTTCTTTGCTGAAATGAAAAGTTTGGTCAACTGCAACACTGTAACACGCAAAGGAGGTTTAGCAAATGCTAACGGATAGCTTAGGTCCCACTTTCAGTTACCGAAGATTCGATAGCTGGAAAGTTTCCCACAAAGTAGTAAAACTTTAAAAGATGTCACAATAAATAACGAAAAGATTTGAGATCATTATAAACTTTGTTCATGGATAGGGGAGTAAGTGCGTGGCTCTAATTTCATATCATTTGTTTACTCACCTCTTTATACGCGAATCTCTATTGAAATGTAGCTAACACGAAGTCAACTCGTATGGGTTGGTGAACGACCAAGAAAGACTTACCAAAAAAAAAGGATATGGAGCTTGAAGGGCGCACACGCCTTTCGCAAGTATCCTTCCTGACGCGTAGAAAGCCGTAAATTATTGGGGTTTGGAAAATAAACATTGCTGCCAAGTAACTTATCTCTACATTGCCAAACCGAGTCCGTCTCCAGAATTACGAAACATTATATGCCATCAGTATATTTGCTCCTAATCAAAGAAAGTTTCGCGAATCGTAGGAATGTTGAAGCTACGGGTACATGGACGAGAGCAATATATCTTTCAGGGACGGACTGTCACGGCACCCAGATCCCGAGAAAAAACGCCATTTGGCAAAATTTATAGAAAGGTACGTGGACGTTCGCCGCCACATTAACTTATTGGCATTGGGTGTTCCAAAATATAATGATACTTTAACATCAGTTTTGCCGTTGCAAAATTCTACTGGACTTATTATCGATCACTTTCAGCAATAGAGACGTACCACGGAAAATAGTATGAGAAGAACGGATTTGTGCAGGCCTATTTCGCTTTCATTTTTTGGTACATTTCTAATCGAGCGACGTTCGCATATTGTATATTAAACAAATAGTGCTTAGATTTACATAGCATGTTATGCTGAAAGTGTTGCATGTGCAAGACACAGTTCCAACAAGCAAGTGATCGATTTTCGAATTCACCTAAAGCCGAATATAATTTCTTTCTTGTAACTTCTCCGCTTTGCTTTGCTTTGTTTTGCAATACTTTAATCACGTATAACACATTCTAAGCTAAAGAAATTCTAATCTCTAATAGAGAAATTACTTCATAAATGTACAGAACGTGTGTGCATATGGGAAGGTATGCATTCGCCTGCCTTGCAACGTCAATATTTATGTATAATCATAAAGTAAGCAATTTATTAAAAAAAAGTAAATAAATAAATCCATGAAAAATGTAGGAAAACTCATAACTATAGTAAAAGAGTAAAGGTGATGAAGTAATCAGTGGATTAGACATAATAATTAACCGAATATTGCAAAAATTTGTCTGCAAATTGTTCTCGATTTAAAATGAATGGTGAATACAATAGATCTATTGAAAGGAATGTATGACGTAGACAGCATTACGTTCAGCTTTGATCGCGTTGGAAAGGCCGTCTACAATTAACTTTTTTTATACAGTGTAGCTCGTACTGAGAAAAACTGAGTTCCTTAAAATGTGTCTTTGCTGTCCTCCACTCTCTTCAACCAAATATAAGGTAAAAAAATTGGAAAGTATTTTATTAACCGTGGGTAGGTTAATTAGGCAGATTTTTAACTTAGTATTTTTACATCTTCAGACCACTATATCTACTGAAAAGAGGCTGGTAGATCAAAGCTAAATAAAACAATTTGAGTAACGAGAAAGATACCAATGTTATCGATTTTGAAAACAGATGTGTTGGTTGGTTTAACGTGGGCACGTACCTTGTCGGTTTAACCCCACGGTGGCCGATGACACACGGGTTAACTTAGCGTAACCGGCGCCCTCCACAGAGTTAGACAATCCCTATAAGCTAGGGGCCTAAACTACACTAGAGCATCCAGATATTTTTATTGTGTATGGGTCGATAAACGCACTCCGGTAAATGTTAAGGCGTATCATTACCTCTAATTATTCGCTTTTGGAATTATAGAAGCCAGACGCACCATGATACCACCCAAAGCGCCATACCCAGCATTCAGTACTAACACAGTTACCAGCTGGTTTAGTGCTTCTTCCAGTGTACCCCTAAGCTATCTTTAAGAAAACTTGTCGCCAAGTTATGGATAGTTCAAGCCTTAAACTTTTCTTCGCCGTTCAAGACCGTTACCAGGGATCCTCACAAGGAGGTGAGAGCCTCGACACATCTATGCTCTCTCAAAAGCATAGTTTATCACCCCAGAAGTGATCTCACACAAAGCTGAACTTTGGGAGTCTCCTTTGACAGATTTAGCCCAATTTCAAGAACAACCCGCGTGCAGAAACTGCCAATGTTTCTGACATTTTTATGTCCAATCGCGGGGAATAAACAGGCGGGCAAGAAGCCCGAACGGCGAATATGTCTTCATGGATTCAAAATTTAACGTTGATTAACAATATTACACATATAGATTTTATAGGGTCTCCGAAGCCTCTTAGCGGATGTTACAAACATTTTGATGCAAGAACATATTCTCGATACAGCGTAGCGTTGGCTGAACGAAGTCGATTTCATTCCTTTTCCGTTCAACGACTGGAGGATTATTTACGCGTGCGAATATGCTACAAATTTTTATCATTGTATTTATAGTAATTTGTAAGGAACAAGCAAGAAACCGATTTTTTTTTTGCCTTTGAAAAAAGAGGCCCACATTGTACTGCGGGCGTGGTGTTTGTATAACTTGGACCATTCTCCATGCCAACTTGCGTGCAAGAGCTTCCAATATTTCTACCAAATTTAAACTCGATGTGGGGTCTCTGAAACCCGCTTCTGGGCGTCGCAAACGTTTGGATGTGTTGCTTAGAAATCCCTGGACATGTTTCACAACTTTAAAAAATTGTGTAGTATGAGGAACTTGTAAATGTTATCGCAAAAAACCATGCAAGAAAGTAATAAATAAATCCATATCACATACTTTTAAAACAAAATCCATTCATTTCTAGTACAAAAAACAAATTAAAAGTAGAGCACAGTGAAAATTTATTCCATAAGTACGTACAACATATACAAATTAAAATTAAAGTTACGGATAAAATCCAATTTTCCAAGTATTCATCACTACTTAATAACAAGCATGCATGTTTATTACGAACTGCATCAAAAATGCTATCATCAGTAGATATGCCAGATAATTCTGGCACAACTGCCGGATTTGGTTCAAATAAAGAATTTCTCGCCTTATTAATTTTTTGTTGTTATAAAGTCTGTTGGTAGTATCACGATCATTTTTTTTCTTTTGTTTCTCAAGTTGCTTAATATAATCCTTGATATCCAAGATTCTTTAAGATACTATCAAAGTTTAAATTAAAAAAAAATATTTTTTTTTTTCGATTAATATTAGAGCAAAAAATTTATATAAAAGGGAGTGTATTTTCAAGCTCTCGCGAATTAAATCAGTAGAAATTCACCTTCGACTGTTGCTGTATACATAACTTTCTGTAAGACGCTGTCAAAATTGGAATTGGAAAAAAAACGTCCGTCCGTCATTCATATAGGAACAACAAATTTATGCAAAAAAATACATTGGTGGACCGCGTTATATTAAAATCGTGTAAAAAAGAGAAGAAGAGAGAATGAATAGAGAAAGCTATCAAACTGAATTGTCTTGTACACCGGCATGCTTCCAAATGCACTATGTTTCGGTAACCCTAAAACAACGATATTTAAATAATTTCCACAATACTGAGTTTAATCAAAGACCACCGAACTTTTATCCCGATGGATTTCTCTATGCAGCCAGTAAAATAGCAGCCGTTCTTTTTAAGTAAGCCGGTGAATCATCTTATTAACCTATAATAATGAAAGTAATCATAAATCTAATTTTCAATAGCTTACTACTTTTTAGACAAAATTTGATATTTTACTGGTTAAAACCGCTCTATTCTTATAGCAAAATAATATAAAAATACGAAGATTGGTCTCATATTCTTGTCAAATTCTTCCATCATAACTTTTGCCTTTTGCTGATAAAACTCATTCGAAAACGCCCCCAAGTTGTTTTCAAAAATTATCGCTTTTTAAACTTTTAGTGTTTAGATGGTAGTCAAAGTGTTTAGTTTAAAACCTCTACTTAATACTTAAAAAAAAAAAAAATTATATAAAAATCAATTTAAAAAAGAAATTAAGGAATTTTAAAAATATTCCTTTTTCGGGAAGTGCAATTAAAAATGAATAATTATGGCAGACTAAAAAGTTTAACAGGAACAATTTTGCTGATAATCATTAACTTACCCGGTGGCATTGCTTTAGTTAATTCGTAGGTTTTACTTATCAATTGCTTTTCAGAGTGCATTGCGAGAGGGTTTTTAAACTTCCGTTGTTTCAGACCCAAAATCATTATCAAGGACGGCAATCTGATTTTCGAATCTGGTTTAGATCGTAACATAAGTTTTCGTCTGTCGGGCAGGTCGCGTTTAAATATAAACGATGACTACGATTTATTGGATTTATTAATACAAAATAAGAAGGGGCGTACATCAACCGCTTTGGGGGAAGGTAATGAAGAATGGACGGAGGATGAGGAGGCCATTCTTAAGCAATTAACTTCGGAAATGGACTCAGTGAAAAGAAGAGTTTTTGGACCCAATGGATTGCAGTATCGTTTCTTTTTATTGCAAAATCGTACACGCGTAGCTCAGCAATTATTGCGGCTTTATAATAATCGTTTGCAGCAAGCAGAAAACCGATTCAAAATTCTGCAAGAAAGGCTGGAAAAAAAGGCATGCCTAAGTAATCCTTGTGAAAATGGTGGATCATGCTTTAATATTTTTGACGGGTTTATGTGTAAATGCCCGAAGAGTTTCGAGGTGAATTTCAATAAAATTACTCTTATTAGAAAGCGACTTAAGAGACGTAAAACGCTTACATTATCTAAAATGTTGTTTGTAACGTTTTATGTGTGCAGGGTCCGACGTGCAATCAAGATGTCAATGAGTGCGCTTTATATGCAGGCACTGATTTAGGCTGCCAGAATGAAGCTCAATGTGTCAATCAATTCGGCTCATACAGTTGTATTTGTCGGCCCGGTTGGTATGGCATACACTGCACTCAACGTAAAGGTGACTGCATGCAATCCTCAAACTGGGAACTATGTGGACATGGCATTTGCGTCAATAGTAATGACACTTTTGGCTACAAATGCATTTGCGATCAAGGTTGGCGCACTAATGGACTTATTCCCGCTTGTACAGTAGATGTGGATGAGTGTGCTGTCGGTCATACAGCATGTTCGACAAAATGCATTAATTTGCCTGGATCCTTTACTTGTGCTCCTTGTGCAGCTGGTTTAACGGGCAACGGTATTAATTGTCGGGATTTGAATGAATGCGCTGAAAACAATGGTGGCTGTAGTCTGAATCCAAGAGTTCACTGCATTAATTCCTATGTAAGTGCAAAACCTTTGTTACTTTTTTAAAGGTATATGAAATATCCCTTTTAGGGTTCCTATCATTGCGATGAATGTCCGCTAGGTTGGTTGGGTGACGGCCGCACTTGTACACGCGCTTCTTCGAATTCTGATTTTGCTGGATCTGGGCCATCCACTTCAGGAGCAATTGGTGCTGTAGCCAGTTGCACATCCAATAATGTTTGTCATCCTTCAGCTACCTGCAATGAAATTTCGAATACTGTTGTTTGCAGTTGTCCTCCAGGCATGATAGGCAGCGGCATTGGTGTAAATGGTTGCGTACGTGGTTCTAATAAAAATTGCTTAAATCAACCCTGCAAGGTAGTCCATTGAGTCTATCTAATTTAAATTAAAGCGCTGTACAATTGTTGGTTTGCGCTTTTTCAGAACGGTGGGACTTGTTTAGATAGCGGCAATGGTTATGTTTGTCTATGTCCTTTGGGTTTTGTGCAACCGAACTGCACAGCCATTTCTAACGCTTGTGTGCCAAATCCTTGCCTTAATGGGGGACGTTGTATAGCAAAACTAGGAGAACATTACCAATGCCAATGCACACCTGGCTACACTGGAAAGCGTTGTGAAAGCCGCTTTAATCGCTGCGGCGGTGTCTTAGCCGATCCTGTGGGACGGCTAACTTATCCTACAGGCTCTCCGTATGAGCATAATGTACAGTGCGCTTGGATTATAAGAACCTCTGAGACACTGGTATTAAATGTAACATTTAACCTGTTTGAGCTGGAAGACAGTACTGACTGTAGATATGACTGGCTACAAATTAATGATGGTCGTACTGCAGCTGACCAGATCATTGGACGCTTTTGTGGTTCACATAAACCTAATGGCGGTAACATTATATCGTCTACTAATAATTTATATTTGTGGTTTAAATCAGATAATTCGACGGCCGCTCAAGGCTTCGACTTGGAGTGGCAATCGATACCGCCCCAATGTGGTGGTGTTTTTACAGTTACAACGCACGGCACTTTATCTACTCCAGGTTCGCCGGGTAACTATCCGAAAAATCGTGATTGTCGTTGGCACTTGAAAGCTCCCTATAACAAACGTTTGAAACTGACTTTCTTCAGTTTGAATATCGAAAAGCATGATAGCTGCAATTACGATTACGTAGAGGTAAGTTGAAATTTAAGATCTGTAGTTGCTGAACTTTTTCCGAAAGTGGAAGCAATATTTTAATGCCCTCCTTTATGACCGTAGTTTATTTGCATTCATAGTTTTGCGAACGTAATTTTACGTTCCCCTCGTTTAATATAAATCAGGTTAAAGTGCCCCATTTTGCAAGAACAGTGGAGTCTATCATTACGAAGTTTCATGTCGATTATGAATATTTTTCACAAATACTACACAATACTGATTTAAAGATTAAAAAAAAAAAATGGAATTCAGTGTAACTTGCTTGGTTCGCTCCTTGATTGGATTTTCGCAAAGCATTTTGGCATAATATCATCCACGTTATCTTTCGGTTTTAATTCTGATCAATATTGATGTAATTAACTTGCGTTTAATTGTATTGTTTTATAATTTCATTGTATTCCCAGATAAAAGATGCTATCTCAGGCCATAACTTGGAAAAGTATTGCAACTCTTCACATCCTCAACCGTTGTTATTGCCCACTAACGAAGTTAATATACACTTCCATTCTGATAATGTCGGCTCAGATACGGGCTTTCAAATTTACTACTCAACCGAAGAACGTATACCGGGATGTGGAGGCGTTTACACTTTAGCTGAAGGGCAAATACAAGCACCGGTTTTAATAGAAGATTCGATTGCTTGTGAATATGAAATCAAAGTTCCGACTAGAGAGTCGGTCATTTTAAACTTTGAGAAATTCCAAATGGCCCCTGATGACTGTATTAAGGTATATCTGGTTTCAATTTTTAAGTTATACTCAAAATTTTATTTTGATGCACTTTTTCTCTTAGATTTATGGTGTTAACTCTGAGACACGAGAGCAATCACTTCAAGCAAAATATTGCGGAGACTATGAGGGACGGCTGCCTGTAGTAGAAATCAATTTTAATGACGTTTTAGTAACGTTTTACGGCCAAAGTGGAGCAGCATTTAAATTAAATTATCGCTCACGTAGGACATTTTCAAGTAAAACATGTTCCTATCTTTTGTAAATCCTCGCTTTGTTTCTTTCTTCCAGCTTGCTCATTTACGTTTAACTCCGAAGAAGATTTTATATATTCACCCAACTATCCCAATATAACTAAGGAAATTAATTTTTGCACTTACAAAATTAACACCGAACCCAATACCGTGATTTCCCTTTACGTGACCGATTTCGATTTGAAAGATTCCACTTTAGACGACAAAGGTTGCGTTTACACTTTCTTAGTGGTTCGTAAAGTTTGCAAGAACCTCTGTTTCAATTCCTGAGTAAATTTTTAATTCACATAGATCGAAGACACTATGGGAAAAAGTCCTTGGGAACCTTATTGCAACGAAAAAACCCCAGCCCGGGATTTCGTTTCAAAATACAATTTTTTGGAGTTGCTTTTTCGTAGTAGCTTAACGTCTTCGGGTCGCGGTTTCAAGATCAAATATAAAGCGATACCCATGGGCAACAAAAATTGTGGCGGTGTCTACACAAGGCCGGGTTATACGATACGTCTGCCTACTGACGAGGAGGGCTTGTATATGCACGATATGGAATGCTATTGGATTATAAGGGCACCATTGAATAAATACATCTTTCTAGATTGGAAATCATTTAAATTGGAGGAGTCGAGTGATTGCAATTACGATTATGTAGAGGTTTATGATAACTATGCGAATGCGAAAAATAGTCAGCCGTTGGGAAGGTGAGAGAATGATCAGGAACTAATTTCGATTTTAGCGAAAAAAATATCATTTTTTTACAAAAAGTAATTTCCCATTCCGCTCAACCGCAGCGTCAACATGTCACGCCTTAAGTACATATATATATAGAGTGGTTTTTTTTTCCTTGATTCGTTCGTAGAAATATATAGCTTACGATGCTTCGTCTCACACGATTTTTCTTTTATTTTGGTGACAAAATACTAAAAACTATACTTTGTTTTAAACTGCGGACATACCACTGACTCGAGCTTTATCCTGTATACTGTCTATCCTGTACCACACATGTGCAGTAGGCGATATAAATCATACGTAATTCTTATCAATGGGTACTCGCCAAAAGCACTTTCCTGCTGATCTAATACTTTGCATTTTCCTTTATACAATTTTAAATATTGTTTGTGTTTACGTCAAGGTACTGCGATGCTCATCCCCCTGATCCGATGTTAACACATTCGCGTACAATTACTATAAAATTCGTTTCCGATGCCTTTGACGCTATGGAAGGTTTTGAATTGAATTACGAGTTCGTTGACGTCGTGAATTCATGTGGCGGTCACATACATTCGTCTGGTGGTAAAATTAATTCACCAACCTGGCCTCTGAACTACACTGAAAATCTAGATTGCCATTGGATTCTCAATACACCGCCCGGTACGCAACTGGAGTTAAATATTGAAATATTTGACTTGGAGTATACTAAGGATTGCAGTCATGATTGGTTAGATATAAGGTAAGGAACCTTTCAAAACAAGCCTGTTGGGCTTTCACAGAACGCAGTTACGAATTGAACAACTATTGACGTTAATTTCAAAAGTCTTCTTTCTGCCCTTAATCAGACAACAACATAATACTACCATATGTAATAACGTCTGTACGCATCATCGTTTAGCTGTGGTTGTTCATATTTGGCTTCCGTCTAAATGGACATATCCTGCTTCCACATCTTACTTCTAAACGATAACGATTTATCTATGAATGGGTCTGAGTGGCACCTCAAAGAATAAAATTGCATTACTACCTCTAAGAATAAAGTTGCTTTACTAAGAAGAGGACTTTAGAAATGTGAAAAATCCAAGGCTTTTACGACCAACTACAGCAAACGACTAAACCGTCGTCGGGTTTTTGCTTGAGTATCTCTCTGATAGAATCCGTGTGGATTTTTTATTGAAAAATGACCCTTAAACTAGATTAGAACGTTTTAGCTTATGCTGACATGTAGAAAAATAAGGCGTTTTCGCGAACTATACATTTATGTTCTGTGAATTCTTGCCTATAAATAAAGTATATAGCGGATGACTTCACTACAATACAAGAAAAATACATCGTTGTGCATTCCAGGGCGGTACTAATAATTCGTTTATTTTTCTAGGAATGGAGGCTCTAACCAATCCACATTAATAGGACACTTTTGTGGCAATATCTCTAGCGTACCACGTAATATACCTTCTTTTACCAATCAAATGTATTTGCATTTCCACACCGATTCGTTTGTAAACTTACGGGGATTCCAATTGCGTTGGAAAGTTTTTTCGAACGGATGTGGTGGTAACTTGAAAGCCAAAACTGGTGTTATTACTTCACCTTTCTATCCGAAGTCCTATCCCAACGAAGCAGATTGTGAATGGCGTATTCATGTTCCTGCCGGCTCTGTAATAGAGTTCACCATCGAAGATTTCGCTTTAGAGAGTTCATCCAGTTGCCACTATGATGTATTGGAACTGTATGACGGTTCCAGTATGTCTCACAATTTGCTGGTCTCATTATGCGATGATGCCTCTTCTCGCGTATACGTGACTACACGCAACGAAGCCTTGGTGCGTTTTGTATCAGATGACTCAAATCGAGAAAGAGGTTTTGTCCTGTCTTTTAAAGCCAATTGTTCAATTATTTTGACTAACGTATTTGGTGTAATCGAAAGTCCTAACTATGGCGAGGCTCTGAATCGAGATGATGAAGACATTAACTGCACGTGGACGATCAAAGCACCCAAAGGAAACCGAGTACATTTAGAATTTTCGCACTTTTTCAGTTTGGAAGATAAGCATTCTGTTAGTATCCAAGACGGCAATCAAACGTATCAAATCAGGGAAATGTATCATAATTTCAATTCTTCATCTGATACTTTAATTTTGAAACAAACCAACAATTTGGTCAGCTTCCAATTAGAATATATAATGGTGGGATGCATAAAAACTTTTCACGAAATGAGTGCGAACTTTACATCGCCACAGTATCCGAAGCCTTACGATAATAACTTGGAGTGTTTATGGGAAATATTTACTAGCCCAGGTCAAGGCATAGAAGTAACGATCGCAAAATTAGATGTGGAAGACTCAGTTAACTGCACTAAAGACGCTCTACTGATTACGTCTCATCCTAAAAATCCCAATGTCAAAGAGAGACACTGCGGCCATCATATTAACTTAATTATCACCAGTGCCACTCATTACTTACTAATTAAATTTTATAGCGATGATAAAGGAAATGGCAAAGGATTTACCGCCAGTTACAAAATCATAAAAACTTGTAAGTCAATCTGGTACCAAATTTAACATTAATTTATTATAAAAAGAAAAATTTTGCTCTTAGCATGTGGTGGCGTTTTATCTAGTAAAAATGGCATAATCACTTCACCCCACTATCCCAATAATTATCCTCAGAATTCCGATTGTGAGTGGTCTTTAACCGTGTCGCCCCTTCATTCAATTGTTTTGACGATAATCGAGCTGGATATAGAAGACTTTTCCAGTTGCAGTATGGATTATGTGGATGCTAGCGAGACGTTGGATGATGCGGTAGAACCGTCGCAACTTTTTAAACTTTGCGGCACGTTGGAAACGAAAAACGTAACGACTTGGCGTAGTTCAACAAACTCTGTTACTGTACGATTTCATACTGATGACACAATTACCAGTAAAGGATTCAAGTTAAGCTATCATGAGGTTTGCACACGACGATAGCATTTCTTAGCTTTGTTATACTTTGAATGGCAATACTTGCAGGATTGCGGTGGACGGGTTATTCTAGAAGACGAAGGAAACTGGGCTACAAAAGAGATAAGTGTCGTAAAACATGCAGACGTTAATCAAACTTGTCAATGGCAATTGGAAGCGAAAGATCTAAGTGAACATGTAGCCCTCTCTATAACGCATGTAGACTTGAATCCCACATGGTCTCGAGAGTACCGCACAGAAGGCGAATGCTTGAATAAGGGAGCTGTAGTTTATGATGGCCCTTCTGATACGGGGCCGGAGAAAGCAAGGTTTTGCAAAGTTCATCCTCCTTATTTAGTATCCAACGGTCATGCTTTAACACTTACGGTACCATTAAGTATAATAAGTGAATTCGAAGCTACTGTAGCGAAGCTATCTAGTATCTGTGGTTTCACTGTCACGATCTTTCAACGTTCACTCACAGGAAAGTTTTCTTCTCCTTATTATCCATCATCATACCCTGTCAGTATGCAATGTTTTTGGGATATAAATGCCAGTGCCGGTAATCAGGTAGTATTAGTAATAGAATCTATGGATATAGAAGAGTCAGAAAGCTGCAACAACGATTACGTAGAAGTAAGGCGTAATGATTGGACTACGACGCCACTAGGAGTATTTTGTGGTAGCGAAGCACCTGGCCCTATAGGACCCGCCGAAATTTTATTGGTAACATTTAACAGCGACAGTAACGAAGTCGTGGGAAAGGGTTTTATAGCTTCTTATAATTACGGTACGTTGGGTAATCGGTTCATTTAGAGGAAAATTTTAACCATCATTGTATTATTTACACAGTCATGCATAATGAAATAAACGGTACTAATGGTGTAATTGAATCACCTGGCTATCCCACGAAATTCCACAGTGACGAGAAATATAGCTGGCGTATAACAGTGGATAAAAATTACGTCATTTTACTAAATATAAAATATATCCTTGATGAAGATATTCCTTATATAAAGGTAAAGTCTTTTATCCAATTTTTTATGATTCTTTTTATTACGTTCACATGTTTTTTAAGTTTTATGATGGTTATACGGACATAGGAGCACCGATAGAATTTGATAATTCCCATGTTGTACAAAGCAATACCAATGTTTTATACTTTACTTCCACTCGTGCTCCCTTTCAATTTGAATGGCATCAGCTGTCAAAAGAAGCGCTACGCGCAAACCGCACCGCTTTGCTTAAGACTACCATCTGTGGACCTTCAACTCTTAAAATCGATAGCCCATTAACATTCAGTTCACCCGGTTATCCCAGAGGTTACGCTGATAGCCTAAATTGTTCCTGGTTGATTGTTTCAGCCAATCCTCTCGCCCATGTTGAATTAAAAATTAGGGAAATAGATTTGGAGGATTATACGGAATGTGCAGATTACGTTGAGGTCTATTCAAGCTCGGATTTGCAACATTGGCACTCGCTAACGAAAATGTGCAAGAAAACTGCCGATACTATTGTCGAATACAAAGGCGTGCCATACTTGAGAATGGATTTTATTACCGACACCTACATTAATAAAACGGGTTTCATGGCTGACATTAACATTGAGTGTGGATCGCTACTTACAGAAAGGCGTCGTTTGGTTAATATCACACAGTTACTTAATAATCGCAATCGACTACGCATGGAATGTGTTTGGACTATACAGGTGCGGCAGGCGCGGCGCATTAAGATAACATTTCCAGAGTCTATTTTAATGCCAGACAGTTCAAATGATAATAATTGCCGTACATACTTCTTGGTGAGGAACGGCATAAACGAAGATTCTCCTTTCCTTGGGAAAGGGAAATATTGTGATAACCATATAACAGACGTTTTGGAAACGTCATCTAATCGAGCCTATATAAAATTCCTTAGAAATGGCTTTCCCGACTTTCGCGCCTCTTTTCATTACGAAGAAATGGTCCAGGGCTGCTCGAAAGAAATAGTCTTAAGCGACGAATACCAGCTTGATAGTCAACAAACAATAACTTCGCCCAATTACCCCAATCTACCCAATCCTCACTCCGAATGTATTTGGATAATAAGAGCCCCTTTGCATAAATCTATCAGCATTCATTTCTGGGGCAAATACGATTTAGCAATTGGTTCTCAGTATAACATCTGTAATCGCGAATATATTCAGTTTAATGACGGTTCAACCGAAATGTCACCTTTATTGGGACGTTACTGTGGTCGCACAAAGCCGAATAGCGTACATTCTTCCTCCAATGTAATACGTATGATTTATTTCACAGATTTGTCTGAACCTCACGTCGGTTTCAAAGCCAATGCAACAATAGCACGTTGCGGTGGCTCATATTATGACAGTGAAGGTACCATTAAGTCTCCAGAGTTTATCAGATTTTTAGACCGCGAAGAGGAAGTTCAGTGCATTTACACTATTGAAATGCCTGTAGGGTCGACCATTAGTTTGACGATTGATCGCATTAATCTGCCCGACAATGACAATTGCACCGAAGACACTCACCTCGAGTTGCAAGAGATCGACGTTTTTAGTTCACCAGAGGATAATGTAACTGACATTTTGTACTTATGCGGCACTTCAACCAACGTTTACATTGTGGAGACTAATAAATTGTTGATCAAATTTAAGATTAAAAAAGAACTCCTTAAAAGCGAGGACTTTCAACTGAGCTATTCTTCGATTGGTACACGATGTGGCGAAACTATAGTAGCTGCGGCTGGTGTACTGCAAACTCCCGGCTATCCGATAGGAGTGCGTAAACCAACAATGTGTTCTTGGCGACTCAAAGTCACTAAGGGTAAACGAATTAAAGTAGAAATTTTGGATTTCAATGGGAATTCCCCGAACACCCTGGCGGCTCATATGCGAAGGAGGCCTGGCTTTCCTAACCGTATACTATTTGCTAATGATTTTGCCATGACCTCAGTTATAGCTAGAGTTTTGGAAAACCCTCCGGCAATTCTATATTCCACTGACAATACTATGGCTATTGACGCGTTTCTTCTATCACTCACAGAAAATCGTGGCTTTAAATTAAGGTTCTCTTCAGATGAGGACTCCATACAATGTCACAATAAAATGTATTTAGAAGTGAGCACCGAACCGAGGGTTTTAACTTTTTCTGCTGACGGCAATAGCGCCATTTATTGTGCCTACAATTTTAAAATTGAATATAATCAGACCCTGGCTTTGCATGTATTGCGCCACGAGTACTATCAGACACGTGTTATGTACTCCCCAGTATGGTGCAATGTCTTGTCGCCATTGGCTTTAATAAGAGGAGAAAACAAATTATTACCTCAACTGATGTGTCGAAATGAAACGCAACCATCTGTCCGCTTTCCTTACTCCGCTCAAGCAATATTATCGGCCTCGAAGCAAAATCAACTGAAAGCTTTAGAACTACAATATCAAGTCTTTAAATGCGGTGGTTTTTGGCCCATGGACTATTTTGGGAAATTTGTTATTACTGAGCCTCGTATGACAAACCATACTGGTCGTGTGGAGTGCGCTTGGGCCGTTATGAGCCGGGAGGAAAAAATTGATTCTGCTGACATAGGAACTATCCAATTAGAGGTCCAACTCACTACTGACTTTAAAGGCAAATGCGACGATGAGTATTTAATTGTGTACAACGGGCCGAATCAAAACTATCCACACTTTGGACGATTTTGCCAACAATCATCAATGGCCCCGATGGTAGTTACCGGCGGTTTATTTTTTGAATTTATTACAAACAATTACAACAGTCGCTCTGCTCTAAATGTTACGGTAACTGAGGGTAGCGGTTGTGGCGGCAAGCTGACGTATCCTTATCGTGAACTAACAATATTTTCCAGAGATAAAAATAATATGGAATGTATATGGGAGTTGGCCACGGAGCCCGGTTTCCATTTGGCAGCTGTTTTTAAATACAGTTTTTTTCTTGAAGATAGTCCAAATTGCACCAAAGATTACTTAAAGATTCAGCAACGTTCGCCGGGTGAAGAATGGACGGATTTGAAGACTTTATGCGGTCGTTCTCGACCGAACTCAGTTAATACTACCGAAGTTGAAATGCGTGTTATCCTGCGTACCGATAACGAAACAACCGGCGATGGGTTCACTTTAGCATTTGACCGTAATTGCGGTGGCATATTTTACGCAACTAATGAAATGCAGCAGATTCATTCACCTGGCTACCCTGAACCTTACCCCGCGAATTTAACTTGTAACTACACAATACTGCCATCGAAACACTTACAGGACCAAGTGGGAGGCAATAATTTATTGGTACACTTTTTAGAATTCGAAGTGGAGGACGCTCCCATGATCTCTTGTAGATTTGACAATGTTACCATTTATGCCACGGATTATTATGGTAATGTGGAGAAGACTGTACTTTGTGGGAAGAAAAGCAATTATATGGTCAGAGCAAACAGAGCGATAACACTTATTTTGCGCACTGACGAATCTTTCAACTCGAAGGGATTTTTATTTGAGTATGGCCCTAATAAATGTGGAGGTTTAATAACGAATTCCACTATAATTAGTTCACCAAAAGATTACAATAGCGATAAATATCCTCGCAGTACTAAATGCATTTGGCATTTAAACGCTCCGGAGCATTATAAAATTTTATTAAAATTCGAAGAATTAGACTTCGAATCGCAGAGCCTGTGCACCTTTGATGGTATAGAGATATACCAGGGCGTTAAGGAGGTCGAGGATCAACGTTTAGCTAAATTATGCGGAAATTTAACCAATCATTTGAAGTTCATGCAAATACCCCAAAATAACGGTTTACTGGTCAGTTATTCCGATATGCATGATCCTTCAAAAGGTTTTAGGGTCTTGGTTACCTTTATAAAGAATTGCGATCGAAATATATTTCTCTCAACCAACAATGATAGCTATGTATTTAATACTTATATCGAGCAATACACAAACAATTTGGATTGCTCTTGGGTTTTCAGTACTACTAGCGGACGGCAGCTAAGTATAGAGTTTACTAATTTTCATATAGAAGATTCTGTGAATTGCAAGAACGACTACCTAGAGGTAAGAGATGGTAATGGCGTGTTTGCGGACTTAATCGGAAAATTCTGCGGCCACAATACGCCGCCGGCGCTGATGTCTTCGGGTAGAGCAGTACTAATGCGGTTTGTTACAGATATGAAAGATACTAGTGGAGGTTTTGCGGCCGTTATCAAATCAGTCCCAACTTTATGCGGACGGCAGAGTTTCAATTTGGACAATAATCAGGTACGAGAGAGTTAATAAAGTTTAGTCTTTTTCTGAAAATACCTCTTTAGACTGTAATTATTAAATCCCCTGATGATGGTTCGGGCAAATATCCCATCAATATTAATTGTATATGGAAAGTTCAATGTGCAACTTTTATACATTTTGAATTTGAAAAATTAGATCTGGAGGGCCCAGATAGCAACCGTTCCTGTTCTAACGACTACTTAAAAATAATTAATAATGATGTAAGTATTCTTTAAACTTTTATAGTGACAATAATACAAATTGTGTACTAATGAACAGGATGTAGAAATGATCGAAAAAGGTTATGGATCAAAACTAGTTTTTAATGGTATTACTCCTAACTCAATATCTTCAAGCTACGATTTCCTGGCAGAACATATTTACTGTGGCTCTCAGAAACCGAGCGATTACTTTAGTGGCTCCAAAACAGTTTTCATTAAATTCAGATCTAATGAAAATGTAACAAAATCGGGATTCAATTTAAAGGCTACACCCGCCCACGGTTGTTATCGTAACTTTACTGGTGTACATGGAAGTATCAGACTTGAAGAATATGTTGACCACTGCGATGTGTATATACGATCACCTCAAAACACTACGCTCAGCTTATATTATCGAGAGGCAACGTTTACTGAATACGATTGTTTGAAAGAATATATGGAGGTTTTTGATATTCATACAAATACTTCATTGCAAAAAATTTGCAGTTATGCAGAAGTAGGTAAAGCGTTGTTTAGTCTTACAAATGAATTGCGTTTGCATGTTCAACTCAGTGGTTACTACACTCAACTGTCAATAACTTATGTGGCTTCAACGGATGGTCCAGGATGTGGTGGTGACATCTACAACACTGGTGGGGTCATAACAAGTCCTTTTTATCCACAAAATATACGCAATAATTCCGATTGCCGTTGGAACATACGTGTACCGAGCAATTTGCAAGTTCTGCTTAAATTTCTAGGTACACGCGACAATTCTAAGAAACATCGAGAACCTCACGAAAAATGATTTCATTTATTTTTTCAGTTTTCGATTTGGGAGCCAAGAGTACTTGTCACACTGATTATTTGCAGATTATCGAATACGATCAAGGTGGTACGGAAAAAATTATGCGTCAATTTTGTGGCGAGGTTTGTGAAAAAAAATACTTCTCTTTCTTGACATTAAAATTATGTTTATATCTCTGCATCGCTACATTCAGACTTATTTCCTCAGTTAGTTTAGGCCTGTTGGTCGGTCTGCTTGTACGATTTTTTGTTCAACCAAAGCCTCTCCATTATCGAATTATTTCTATGAAATTTATTGCATTGACATGTTGTGGCCTAGGGACGAACCCTAGTGAAAATGGAATGGATTTGCCAGTTTTTAATACCATTCTCCAAACATCGTGTAACTCGCCATAAGAAAAAAATGTAGGTTTTTAATATCTGCTTGGAAAAATTTGTGAAAATAGTACAGTATATGAATACGAAAACGAAGTGCGATCTTCTCTTGAGTCCCGTTCTATGCAATAAATTTTAACAGACTTAGTTTTTATACGGCAATAGGATCCAGTTGTTATTATTATATGATCAAAATTAACGCAAAATGATGATCCGACATTTAGATTTAATTTGCAATATATGGATTAAAGGCATCTATTTTTCGGCGATTCTGTTTTACAAGGATTGTGACGAAAAATATGATTTCATGTAGCAGCAAGCTCTAATTTTTGACACTCTATGGTCTAACTGGTTAAAGCATAGTAAAGTGTGTTTAAGAAAATAAATATCCATCCATTCAAATATCCATCCAATATAAGACTGTTTCAAGAATAATTCGCATCCGGTAACAAGTCCTAAATTTCATTATCCGTTTAACTTTAATCCATTTTTTTTACCAGAAACTTAATCAGTTTTATCTATTTTCTTTCTTCAGGACAATCCTCAGAACTATAAAAGCGGCAAGAGCTTTCTGAGTGTACGATTCCACAAAACTGTTAACTATGACGGCACGGGTTGGGTTATAACCTTTGAAGGTGTTTATGGTAATTTCAAAATTGTATAAAAGCATTACTAAAGATGTTGTACTTTAACATAAATATATTTGGAAACACGTTTTCGTAAGTTTTAGTTTTATTTATTTCCCACAATCCACAAATATTTTCTGTTAGTTAATTTCCGCTTGAAATATCTTAGCATAAGCTTTCCATTGGTTGGTCGTACTATGCAATTAGCATAGGCTATTCAAAAGTAAAAGGATATTTTAACATCAATTTTGTCGTCGTATAATTCTACCGTTGGATTTAATGATGAGAGGGCAGAGACCATGTAACCGTGGCAAATACAAATTGCAATGACCGTAATCGCCTGTTAAAAGTACGCGACTTCACTCTATTCAGCGTTAATATAGTTAATACCCATCGATGAAAGACCCACCTAGGCTCTTACACAAGTATTGGAATACGAGGGCCTATATACGAATTTGTGAAGGCCTTCTTCGCTTCCCTTTTCTACATCTTTTTGCACATTTCTCATATTTCTAATCGAGCGACCTTCTCGTATATTGTATATTAAACGAAATAGTGCTTAGACTTACATGGCATGTTATGCTGAAAGTGTTGCATGTGCAAGACACAGTTCCAACAAGCAAGTGATCGAATTTTCGAATTCACTTAAAGCCGAATATAATTTCTTTCTTGTAACTTTTCCGCTTTGCTTTGCTTTGTTTTGCAAAAGACTTCAATCACGTATAACACATTCTAAGCTAAAGAAATGCTAACCTCTAATAGAGAAATTACTTCATAAATGTACAGAATGTGTGTGCATATGGGAAGCTACGCACTCGCTTGCCTTGCAACGTCAATATGTATATATAATCATACAGTAAGCAATTTATTAGAAAAAAGTAAATAAATAAATCCATGAAAAATGTAGGAAAACTCATAACTATAGTAAAAGAGTAAAGGTGATGAAGTGATCAGTAGATTAGACATAATAATTAACAGAATATTGCAAATATTTGTCTGCAAATTATTCCCGCTGAAATAGATCGTTTGAGAGGAAAGGATTACTTAATCAGCATTATAAAGAAAGAAGGAATAATTATGTTCAGTTTTTATCGCACTTGGATAATTATTATTTGGTAGAGCATATCGCGTTTAAAGAAAACTAATTTCCCCGGACCTGCCCGTAGCTATCTTAAATCAATTAAAAAAACTGCAGAATATTTTGTTAATTATAGATGGGTTAGTTGGCCGACAGTTTTTCATTTCGTTGAATATATTATTTAAAAAGACTCTTTTTTTTCATAGTTTGCTGAAGCATATTATAAATGATGAGCATGGTGATGATTATGATTTTTAACTCTTCCCGTTTATGGCTAGTTGGTACGCGCAAAGGAGACATTCATAGAACTGTTTCGAATGTGCTTCTGATTTTGAGAATAAAGTTAGTTATATGTGCGGAACAGTAGGATTGAATAGTAGTATGAGAAAACAAGTTTTTAGTGAACTCGGCTTATCGCAAATATACCAAGTTTTCCAAGACATACTTTCAAAATTTATTTGGGGGATAAGGATCGAGCGCACTTTGTGGAGAGTAATCGTGTAATCATTTGATTTACAAAATTTTATTCTAAAGAAATTATAGGGAACTCTGAATTAATTAATGAATCATGGAAGGAAAAGGGGGCCACAGGTTATTCCATTACATATTCGAAATGCAACAATTTGCTAAGAAAAAAACTTCTTTGTCCTTTACATAGATGCGTAACTAATTCGCTTCGAGATGATTGGCACAAAGAAAATATCGTAATTTCTTTTTTGCCAATCCAATCGTTTTGCATCGTTTATACTTCGTTGTCGGCATTATTTTGCTATTTAAGTGGAGCGAGGTCATAATTACTATTAGCTATTGACTTTCTGCTATTTTTCATAACACGCAATTATTGATTTCCGTAAGCATTATCGATGTGTGAGCAGCCGCTCTCTAATAGACAATTATCTAACGAAATAATTGAAAATGTGTTGAATGGAACGTTATTTGTTTGTTATTGTTATTATTCCTATTATGAGTGCATTTGCTTTGCTTCATCAGCAAAAAATGAATTTCTATTATTAGTATTAGTATGTCTGTAAAAATGTTCTTTCCATCCATCACCATCTCTTCGTGTGCGCATAAGCATAAAAAACTATTACTTGTTAGTTTCCAAAACAAAAAAAAAAAGAAGAAATTTGGTACAATTTTACATTTATGAAAAAAATGTTTTCATGCCATGTAATAACCGAAGGTGTTTATTGGTAATTATAAAATCGATTTTTATGTTTAAACTGCGCCCGACAACAACATTTTTTCAAAGGCATTTCATGAGAAAAATTGGTACAAAATATTTTCCATAACTTTCTACTTCTTCTTTCTCACCTTTCCGGCAATATGACGAAACTGAGGCGAGTTTGGTTTTGCAGCACTCCAAGTGTCAAAATGCACTTCGCCTGTATATCGAAAGCCATGCTACATCGATCTAAACAAATGGTAATCAGAAGTTACTACGTCTGGTGACTATGTGCGATAGAACTTTCTATTCGAGCTACAACAGTGTATCCTTGACAGCTCTTGCAACGTGTGGACGAACGTTGCCGTCCAAGAGGATGACTTTGCGTCTCTTAACTTCTATTGCTGATCGCTTTTGCAACAATACGTCGTTCAATGTGTTCAATTGACGTTGTTATATACCAGTAATAAGACAGTAAGAGTTTCGTTTGGTCGTGATACCCTGAACCTTGCTGATGCCACCATATTCGTTCCATGCTTTCCATGATTAGTGTCGGTATACACTGAATCACTCAATAATACTAAATGGACAAATGTTATTTTATGTAGAAAACAGATCAAAATCCTGCAATTTAACCGTTTTGTACATTGTCAGATCACATTATTTTATCATTTGTACCAACAGATGCTGATGACCAATAGACATGCAAGGGCCTAACCGAAATATAATTTAGGAAGAAATTGATATTATCGTGAAAGTTCGTATGAGCGTCAGTCGAGTCTGTCTCTCGACTGTTGACTGTCTTATATCTATAGCGCTAGAGAAGGAAGGACATATCTACAGTTATTTTCGACATGTTACTGTCTAACAAACTTTACTTGAATGAGCAATTGATAAAACATAATTTTTTTATTTAATTTAAGTAGACATCTATTACAAATGAATAAAAACACTTTTTATTACGTTGTCAGTCATAAATGGAATTAATTTCTTTTTAAGTTATATTTAACTAGACACGTTTTCATAAAACTATTTTAAATATCAGTAACAACTTGAAAATATTTAACAAAGAAAATTGACTCGCTTTAAAACGAAGGTTCCATCACTCTAATATATATATCAAGGTTTTTCTTCAAGCATTACAAGCACGACGAACTACTATACCATTATATTAAATTTTTTTTTTTTTTTTTTTGTTTTGCATGATCCGGGAGTAAGCATTGTAAACTTGCTTAATGTGATGTTCTAACTTGATCTAACCCGATATATATTTTGGTGTATTGAGGTAGAAAGTAAAAATTCGATATTTATAGCCTGAGATGGAAACGAAGTTGTGCTTAAGCCTCCTCCCCACCCTGTAATTGTTTATAACGCTGTAAAGGTATAACAAAAATCCAAAATTTTGGAAAATTATTATCACTTAAGGCGCAAAAATAAACTAATAAACTGGAGCCGACTTACTGTTCTCCTTATCGAGCTATCGTATGATGCGAAAGCCAAAAGCAATAGGATCGCATAACAAAATAACGCTATCGAGTACGAACCTTCGTTAACGAGAGCCATCAATTCGAAAGGCAAGTTCGGAAGCGAGCTTGCTCGATAACGGTACCATAAAACGACTCCTGCCTTCATATGCATCGCAAAGTTGTTGCGCTATTATAGGTTTGTTTAGAATATGACAGACTTTTTCACTAGAATCGTGTTAGATTTCATTTAAAGCTTTTCAAATTTCTCTCACGCACGCACTCTCTCTATAGGGTATTGCATATATTCAGTTGACAGCGTTTTTAATATTCGTACATACTTGGTACAATTTCGATAGATTCTTTTAATCGTTGCTTTATAAACCATTTAATTGCGGGAAAAGAATAGAAAAAAAAAAGGAATACATCTGCCATCCATCATTGCCTCTTGTCACGAGCTACTTTTTTCACATGTAGAAATTGATTTATAGTCGGGCGATTCTGTGCTAAGTACACGTCCATACAATGACGTTAACCTATATAACCATTGAAAACTAACAAGTTATTTATTATTTATTTATGTATGTATGTATGTATGTATGTATGTACCATACACTTTGTCGCTTCCTTATCGCCATTGCGTCTTCTTTTATATTTGCCTCCCCGAACGGCAATAACAATAAAAGAAAAAAAAAAACTTATAGTTAATAAAAACATACGTGTTTTAAAAATAATTCAATCAAAACTATTTATATAATGACTAACTATGTAATAAAATGACTAAGAATATATCAACGTTAAGATATGGGTTGGACAAATGTGTAATCGTTTTGTAATTGTTCATGAAAAAAAAAACAAAAGAAAACACATGAAAACAATTTATCAAACAAACACATAAAAAACATTGTACAATACTTAAATTCCAATAACAATTCTTAAATTCCAAACACAAATTTAAGCCCATATATTCTGGGGAGTGCACCTGTTCCGTCTTATATATGAGCTTCACTTTAGCAGGGCAAAGATTAATATGAAAGGGTTTAAAATGTGAAAATTTCGCATCAACTTACCATTCTATGCAGAACGAATGCTTCTAATCGACATAGCAGCGCTTGTTATCGACGTCGGGACGTTTCCAATTGTCACGTTCTAGGCTACTACAATTAAAAGGTAGTATAATTAACGTTAAGTTTTCTTTGACCCTCGCAAAGTAATGTAGGACGCTATGAGTAAACTTTTTCCACCTCGCAAAATATTACTTGCGTTTTACGCGTAGCCAGACAATTCTTCCGTTTTGCCATCCAGATATTCT